TAGCTCCGGATGGGACCTGGTGGGGACTTGCAGCCTCTTGGAGGTCTGGCTGTCCCATTCCTCCGTGCACCTGAGCACAGGTTGCTCCCTGTATCAGGGAGGCAAATGCAGCCTTTCCCCTTGAGCTCGTTATTTCTGTCTGCTTGGGTGAGTAAGAGCTGTTCCACTGCCACAAGCTCTTTTGGAGTGCAAATTTCATTAGGAGCGCTGGCAGACATGGGCGAAGCATGCTGGAGCCAGGAGACCGGACTTTGACTGCTGGGGTGAGTTCTGGAGGCAGGAAGGCTCCAGCCAGGCGCGTCCTTGAGAGCCGTCTCTGTGGTGAGGCGAAGTAAGCAACAAGAAAAGAGGAGAGGCTTTTTGCAGTCTTTGGCATCGTTCCTGGCTCTGCAAGAAATCCCACGATGCCCTTTTGGCCCGACTTATGTCAAACAGACCTATTTAGCACAGGGCGGTGGGTCGTTGCTTGCCAGCAGCTGGTACAAAACACTCGTGGGTGGAGGAAGCTGAACCATTTACTCCTGTGGCATTGCAGATTTCGTTTTAAAGCAACAATTCTTAACGCTTTGGGTGACAGACGTGGCTTTGCTGGTGTAGCTTTGCGGTGCCGCTGTTTTCTGCTGCTTGGTTGTTGCCCGGCTGAAGTGCACCAAGTTGGACAGGAGTAGCCTGGGTTGTGCTGGAGCTGCAAGGAAAGGGGTGGCTGTGCCTTGCTCTGCTTTTGAGTGCTGTGACAAGCAGCCATGATGCTACGGAGCTCTGCGGAGGGAAGAAGCGGAGCAGGCAGCATGGAGTGAGATGTCTTTGCAGCGGAAGACAGGGTCTCGCGTAAAACACCACCGTGCTGCCCAGGGGAGCACCGCCACCAGGTCTGGCTGCCTGTCCTGCCTGCGCCAGAGCTTGGACCCATGGCGAGGAGCTCTGCAGCTGTGTGTGGTTACCCGTGTTTGTAAACCTGGCTCCGAATGGGAACATGCTTTATTTTCCTTTATTTATTATTTCCTCATCGGAAGCAGGTTGTTTTGTGAAGCCTCTGCGGGAGGTGGGCTTCTCTGGTGAAGGCAGGATTTCTGGCTGGAGCACGTGTAACATCTGCTGTGTTTCAGATGGGGCTCTTGCCTTTCCCACCCTCTCTCTGCAGGTGGCCAGGCTGGGAAGAAAAATGCTTCAAGTGGAGGTTCAGACCTTTCCCTGTGAGACCTGAGCCGTGCAATGCCTGCTTTCCTCTTCTTTTATTACTCCCAGCCCAGGGAGTCCAGTTTTCTGTGCCCAGAAACTCTCCTGATTATAGCTTCCTCCTAAAGCCAGCCCTGCTTTTGCTTCCCGGCAAATGAGACCAGCCCAGCAGCCCAGGAACGGTTGTCCCTGTGGCTGGGAGCTGCTGGAGCTCTGGAGAGGAAAAGAAACTGGGCTGGGGGCTGTGGCACGTTCCTGAATGCCAGTAAAATGATTAAACAAACAAAAAAAAATTCCTCCGTAGTATCTATCTTGAGTGGCTTTTGCTTTCCCTTTGAGGAGGAGGGATGCTGTGGGCCCAGCAGCCCTGGTCATGGGAAAACGATGCTGGCAGCCTGCAGGGATTTGCTTTTGCCTCGTGCGATCCTGGCGGGGAGGAGACTTCCTGGGAATGTTGCACGCTGGGGTAAGGAAAACCCCGTTCTCCTAAGGGCTGGGCCAAGCCCCCACCATGGACCATGGGATGGGAATGATGGGCTGCCAAGCCCACGGCGTTGGCAGGCTGGTCTCCACGCTGGGGCTCGCTGCCGAAAGCAAACCTCTAGTGGTGCCTGCCTGCTTGCTGCACAGGATTCACATCCTCCACCTTTGTGTCTTCAGCTGTTAAGTAATTTTAAAGTGGGAATTGCTTCCTTCTGCCACTTCTGCGTAGCCAGTGCAGCGATGGCCATGGTGCTGGTGGCCATGGTGGTGATGCACATTTTCCTGGGTGACAGCGGGGAACAGTCTGGCCAGCTATTTAAATACCACCCTGCTCTCGTCTTTGCCTGGGAGTCTCCGCTGCCCTCTCGCACTCTCATTCTCTCCTTTTGCTGAGTTGTCATAAAAATTTACTACCTAAAGGTCTTGGTGCCCCGCTTGCAACCAGCAACGCCCACAGGTGA